TTACTGGAGACATGAACCCGTGAGAATCCGTACTTCTCGAACAGGTTTCCGAAAATAAATAATTTACACAAAAGGCCTACATGAATTCTGTCTGTTCATTCACAATAACGTCTGTACAAATTATTCGATTTTTAGTAGAAACTCGACAGGAATAATATGTGCTGGAGATGACTAAAGACGCAATATCTGTGATACAACTGCGAAAAAAGAACAAAAATCTTACGTAGTCACAAAATTTAGCTTTGACAATCGAACCGTTGCTCTCCTTTCTATGAAGCAGTGTTGGTAACCACAAAATAAAAGAATCCGACATATATGAAAAGAGTGTGCAATATAGGTCTGTAATATAAGGAACATTGACACAGTAATATAATGTAAACAATATTACACGACAGTCTTTGAAGGAAAAACACATATAACATGTAAGCATAGATTGAAACAAAGGAAACCTTTTATTTGCTATCGCAAACCGTTTTATAAAAATTACAGTGATATTGAAACCCAAAAATGTTACATTTGGTTTGTTCAGATGCCAAATTTGGTCTCTCTCACCCTCAGGAACAGAATATAATGGTAAGTAGATACTCCAGCAATTCTCCAGGAATTCTCCAGCACTTCTCCAGGGCACCTCACGACCACTCGATAACACGATAGTAATTTTTCAGTACACAACACAACCCACCATAAAACAACACAACCCTAACCTAACTAAAGCTAACCCAACTTAACCTATGGCAGCTTTTCTATGACCACAACGACAACAACGTTTGTACACATTAACGTCAGTTTGATAGAAGCTTATAAAGTATACTCAGAAGCTACCTGTCACGTAACCCATAAGCAATTCTGTCATTTAAAGTTGGCAACTGTAATATTCACAACAATTTGGGCACAATAATTAAAGAAGCCTGAAAATCAACATGTAAAACTCATATATTTCACAAACATCTGTTTACAAATTTTCTGTGTCCTGGTTATTTTTCCTACTCAGGAACCCATAGTACGTACGTAGGACAGCTTGAAGTAACCTGAACTTAATACCAATTAAAATGCGCCAAATATCGCAAGTAGTTAGGTAAATGAGAGACAAACACACAGACAGACACACGCACGACGTTATACCTAGACCACACATTCTTTTTAACATTAGGATGCAGGTTAAGAACCACCAACTTTTAATCGGTCTATAAGGGAATCTGTTTATCTGTACAAACTTTTCTTTCAATTCCCCCCACACAACACATTTTTCCGTCTTCTCCAAGACGAGATCATCAAGGTGTTTGGATACCGTCATTATAAGAGACTGAAAGGTTTTCACTTCAAATTTTTAGAAATCTGTGCTTCTAATACAATCTTCGTTGCTCTTCGCACATGTAAAAAGCAAACATCGCCAACAAGCATATGTCTTATTTATATTCTGAAACTATTTCTAAAATAAATATGGACATTCAAACAGTATCGTCTTATGCTATTTAAAACGCAAACAAAAAATAATAATTTTGTAAGGGAAACCTTATCTAGGGTTTTAAATCAACTAGTTACGGTAACATGTATTGGGAAGTTACATTAGTAAAAAATACCAGTACATCACTGATCCAATCAACTATTTTCGGAATGCCAAAACAAATCGACTGGTCGCCAGCCATCACACTTGATCTAAATGGATAAACGGCGCGAGTTCATTACGAAATGAACGAAATCCTGAGTTTCCTACAGGATTCAATAAAACTGATGTTACGGTTTAAAATGTCAGTACTCTCCGAATTTTAAAGTGAGTAAAAAGATTGACAACTGAGTCCGGGTTGCCGAAGAATGCAGTTTCAATTACTCAAAATCTTATTCTCAAATGAGAAGGGAAGGTGGTCATGGATAAAATATGTTATGATTTGTTAGGAGGTTGTCGTTGTATATTTGGAAGTTGTTCCCTGCCAATGCCCGAAGTAACTGAGGAAATCACTACCAAGGCTCGAACCGGCTACCTCACGAACACAAGTCAGGAGCTCTATAAAGAGCCTACAGTAACCTGCTTGGTGGCAGATCGCGTGGCAGTTTTATTAGATCTCTATAAAACATGTTGGATCTTGCCCTTTGTTTGCGTTTAGTATGATAGTTTTCTGACATGCCTCTGTGGCCTCCGGACCACAAGTTTACTATTTATAACATAGGTCACGACACCCACGTCGACCGCTACGACCTATACTTGACCCCTCATGATCGCAGATACGACCCAATCTTCCTCTCAGATAAGTGAACTGGCCCCTTAGGGCTTCAGAGTCCACCCTTAGAGAAGGAATACAACTCGCTGATACAGACAACTCCCAAGCTCTTTCATTATTTCGTCATAGCAGTCCTCTTTCGAGGGTTTCTTTGTGGTTCCGATTAAGACCCCGAGGGACTGTGGATAAGGTACACGGAAAACTACCAGGGATATTGAGACCGTCAAGTTGGAGCAAATATTATCTTTCACTTTGTTGATTTATATATTCGCAGACAAACAAAACACTACCTATATTCTGCTTTAAGTATTTCCCTGTAATATTTCACACTCTCAGACAATCAAATGACCATACCTACGTAATAAACAAAACAAAGCAGAATTGTGCGCAGCATGCAATATAAAAAGCGAAGAAAAATGCATTCCTTTCGTAAGGGGCGGGGAGAGAAGGAAAATGTTGCAGGTTTAATTGAATATATTGTGTGTTCGACCAGAATTGTTACATCTGTTAAATCAATTATATTTACATGCATGGTATTGTAAAAAGGATATGGAAACAAGACATGCATACGTACTATTAATTAGATAACATCTCGAAAAAGTATCATTTAGGAGGCCGAGACATGGGCGGAAGGAAAATATTAAAATGCTTCTCAAGAAATAAAACTGTGAGGCTGTGGACTTTACCTCCTCAGCATTGAGTCCAATGACAAAGAAGGCCCCTCGGTTTTTATAACGGTACAAAACAGGTTCAGTGATAAGAATTCGAACTTTGTGTTCTAAAGGCTGGTTCTCGGCTCGGATTTCGGCAAACTTGGCTAAGAGTTTTCGTTTCATTGTCAGTATCACCAAGAAACATCTGGAAAATACCTTAAAATAGGCCATGACAGTTTCCTTCCATATCCCGCCATATCTTTCATTCGACGCTATGCACAATCTGAACAAAGATAAGAAAAATACCAACGCACTAACCAGGGATCGAATCTGATGCATCAAATATTTCACCAACAAACCCATCTGAAACATTTCAATAATTCAGGAAAAATTTGATGAAAGGTCAAAAGTCAGTGTCCATTCTCGAAACCCGATACGCGAATTAACAGTTTATAAATAATCTAATTTGAATATCGATACGTACAACGCTTGTTGCGGACCTAATGCCTTTTTGCCACAGTGCAACACCACTGTTCACTGTGCGTTGATTCCCGTCCTCGTTTAGTAGCAGCTAATTAAATAATTAAGATAGTTTACTGTGCTGCAGTACGAATAAATATGTATGCAAATGTGTTCAACGCAGTTTCTTTCGTCTCCACCCCACAGAAACAGATAAAGATTATTGACCCAAATTCCAGGCAGTTTTTATAATCAGGCTTCTCAAAGAGCTGACAGGTAATAACATGAGCTGAACAGCTGCACTGAAGGTCCTTTTCGAGAAGATAACTCTAGCTCAGGTAGTGAAGAAATTCCGCGCCTTTATGGCTCCAGAAGGTTTATCACCGTGTTCACTGGAGCCCACTATCGGGCCAGAAAAGTCCAGACTACACTGTTCCACTCCAGTTTCTTAAAACCAATTTTAATAGTATCCTCCCATCTAAGTCTAGGGCTTCCGAGTGCTCTGTTTCCTTCAGACACTTCAACAAAATTTTGTACGCATTTCTCATCATCGCTCATGCTACATGCCCCGTCCACCGCACCTTCCTTGGTTTGATCATCCCAGTAATATCTGGAGGACAGAACAAATTATTGAGCTTCACATTATGTAATTTCCTCCAACCTCTTTTCACTTCAGCCCCCTTATTTTCAAATATACTCCTCAGCAACCCTTTCTCAAACACCCACGATCTGTGTTCTTCCCTCATTATTAGAAGTCACATGAAACAACAGGTAAAATTGTACTTTTGTACATTTTAAGTGACATACTAAATGACAATAAATTCCGAAATTCAAGTATTCTCTGAATATAATCTGCCCCAAAGCACTTCTTAAATACAACTTTGATCTGATACCATTCTTTCCAGATATTTCTACGGAATAAAAATAGACTGCAATAATCGATTACGACTACTGAATTGCAAATGCTCAGGACATGGGCTTTGGTGTTACCGGTATCAAACCTATGTCTTCCAATACAACTTATGTATTAATTATTAAATGTCTCACTACAATCTGATGAACCCTGTGTTGTCCACAATTTCTCGCCCTCGACATTGGTAATGCTACACCGGATCTGACGTATGTATCACGTGCCCCATTTATTGATTCATATTGTTTGAACAAGCAAACATACTACACAATGTACATCAACGTAATAATCTTGCGACTAACCAAGATGATTAGTTTAGTTGTGTAATGGTGCACTGTATTTCAAGAATGTCTCGTGAATGAATGTTGATTAAATTTAATATTCCGGTGACTTGCAAGTTACTTCAATTTATTGTTATCAGATTACTTAATTTACAAACTGTTAATTAAATTCTGAAACGCACTTATCACAAAGATGTTTTATCAGTCTAATGGGAAGAATATGACTTGTTTCGGGACAACGGTCTTGATGTGTACCCATGAGACTGCGACAGAGGATGACAAGGGGTCACGGGACGTTAGTTTAAGATCATGTGTATCAGGTATTTTGTTTCCGCGATAAAGGAAGATGCCGGAATTGGACATAACTTCTGTCGTTCTGCTGGTAACAATATTTCATTCCCCTTACCACCATATAGGCTACGAACATCAAAGGGTTAAACGTCGCGTCATACTAATAATATTTTTCTTTGTGCCTTTACAGGTGTTCCTGAAGTGAATGAAATACTGGAGGCCAATGCGGTAACAAATAATTTTTGAAGAAGACAATGAAGTGTGTGCCCGAACTCTTTAATTGCTTGAGATATTGTGATATTCTTCAGAGAATATTAAATTGCTTGAAAAGTGAATTCTGAGTGTTAAGTGGTATATTAAAATTTACTGGCGCTTCAGGCAAAATGTGTGAATTTGGTTTATACACAATAAAGGAATAGAAACAAACTTGAAATTAAAAGAACGGCGCCTATTAAAAATCTAGAAGGAATATTAGTGAAATGGAAGTGTAAAATGTTTCATTCATGAATATGTATATGATTCTGCATTGTAATTTGGAAGTTTCTAAGAACTTTGCTTCTGAATACTATTAATCTCGGAAATTCGGTCAGAAAACTTTCAGCCAAATTTTATGTGCACAAACCTTACTGAATACAAAAGCCAAATGAAACAACATTTTCTAAACTTCTATCTATTTAAAACAGTTTTTACCTTCCAAATCAATGAAAGCAAGACACGGTTCCATTTTTTCAATAACATAAATTTTTTGTTTATGTGCAAATTTCAGTGTCGTGTTACTTCAGTTGTTATAACGTCTATAAATTATCAACTGTGGATGACATACGTATGACATGTACACAAATTATCGTCACATTTCAAATTTTATAAATCACTTCTAGAGCGTATTATCTTCCAAAGACTTTAATCTGATGCTACAACTGTGTGTTTCTATGGCCATGTAAACCTTTAAAAGATTTTTAACTCGTGGGTGTTTGAAATTCCTTGTAAACTATAAGTGTAGGATAAAATTTATACATAATTTTGAACCCTATCTAAAAGTCATTCCAAACAGGGTTTCCTTGCCCTCCAAATTTAATAAGACATCTTGTGACAGAATATCATTGCTAAGAAGAAAATTACATAAAGTTGTGCTGTGTTACGATGTACGTTTATTACATATTGTCTTTATGTAGTGGAAACTAATAGCTGAAGCAAACATGAAAGGACAGGTATTTGAGCAACAGCTTTTGGCCGAACTATTCAATTTCGATTGATTCTCGTTGTTTCATACTACCTATTTAAGAGGAAAATTTGGTCATGGAGAAATTCCAATAAAGCGAATATGAATGCAACTTCAAGACCACTATTGAAACATTCACGCTACAGTTTAGCGCATTTACTAAGGATACTTTTCATTATGGATAGATTATCTGGGAACTCTGCGTTCAACAACTCACTGGCAGATTTGAATGATTTGGAAGAAGACCTCTTATCATCAACGCTGCCTGAAACTCAGTCTCTATTGGAACAGTTCAACATCACTGACATCGAGAAGATTCTGAACATGTCGTCAAGGCCTGTCTCTGTCATGACCCAGTGTTACTGCAGCGGTCCTATGCGGGAAGTGTTGGTGTCGTATAAGTCAGTACACGGCTATTTGAGCCTGATCGTATGCATATTTGGCACCGTGGCCAACGCACTGAACGTGGCAGTGCTCACAAGAAAGGACATGGCCAGCGCCCCCATCAACAGGATCCTGACTGCTCTTGCCATTGCGGACATGCTCGTCATGCTGGAGTACATCCCCTATGCATGCTACGCATACCTGGTGCTACCTGGGGAACTCAACATGCCCTACAAGTGGGCAGTGTTCGTGCTCTTCCACTCTCATTTCACACAGGTGCTACACACTATCTCCATAGGTCTGACGCTCGTGTTGGCTATCTGGAGGTACATCGCCATCAGGTAAGGTTATTAAATGTTGAGGTATCAACCGCAAAGGCTGTTTAGTGTCAATGAGATGAGAGGATAATAACCAAGATGATTTTGAAAGGATTTGGAAGGAAGCAGCAGAGGCTTATTTCTAGGAATTATAACGGAAACTAAGACAATCCTGAAAAAAGTTAGCCGCTGCCATAAACCCAATCTAAACCGGATACCTGCTTAATGCAAGTTATTCAATTGGAGGTCGCTGTTTGGGATCGCTTTCACAGTCGTTTCTACACGTTATTTTATTTAAGAGCAGAAATTGCGAATTTCCTATCCCGTTTCGTTATGTTGCAGAGTTCAATGCTGCTTTTCTCAGAACAAGACAAAGGTGTGAAAAACACCATTGGTCCTGGCTTCTGTTGATTCATCTCATTAATTTTACGCGTTTCGCGAAGAGTAAATATATTTGTGACGCTACTTCACAAAATTTAGTTGCTTAAATATTCATTATTCTGGATCGTTGCGCGAAGTTAGATTTTTTTTGGCTCGAGTTGACATACTTTGTTGACGGTATAAGCAAATATATTTAATAAAATGTCACATTACGTGGCACACATGCTCGTATGTAAATATTTCCTCTTCATAATCTATACTTGCGGAAGAGTAGTAACGCAACTGTGGATTAACATATATGCCTGGTCTTTTACATTTAAACCGTACCTCTGTTGCTCTCACTGTAAAACAATGAGAATGCGAAGGGCTCTGTTTTAAGCCACCGCTTACTCAGAAACTGAATATTTCACACAGAATTAACATGATAATGTATCTTAGTGACTTTCGCTGTAATTAATCTTCCAGCCTGTTACTAGTTAAGATTAAGAGAGTCTTACAACACACTTCTATGAGCTTAACACAAAGCCATTATGCATCTGTCTCAAAACTCAGATACTGTACCGCTGGAAATCAAATACATATAGACCAACGATGCCCTGTCTTCAATCTGAGAAACCAAAAGATTTGGCAACGTATTCACAACGGGTACAAGCAGCATTATGCAAAATGACTAATTATGCGATGCGGTTTCATCTTTGAATAGATCGGCTGTTCAAAAGTCACTTGTTAATGTGCGTCCCGAATAATCATAGCCCTCAACAAGAAAACTCATAATTATTTAGTCCCGGACAGCAAATTTCAATCACAACGAACGAGTCTACGTTCCATTCGGTCCGCTTACGAAGGTGTTCGACTAAACTTTGGGCGCATAACCTCGAAAATGACTGACCACCGCTTTTCGGCAATCCGCTACCCCTCGTTCAACATATTTGTATGTATATCTGAGGATTATAAATAAACTTATTTAACCCAAGGTAAGGTTGCGTAAGACCATACGAAATACCAACTAGCAGGTGGCGTTCTATATTTGTATTTGGGAGTTGCACAGTTTGAACGTCTACCCGGTTACAGACAATCCTGAAAGGTTTTTCTTAATTTTCTTCAGTCATAAAAATGAATTCCGGTGTAGTACATTGAAATTATGACCCTGTACTTCCAAAGCGACACCTATTCATTCAGTCTGGTCCCGAGATGTCATGTTCCCCGAATGATTGCAGGTTCCCACAGCGAAGCCACATCCTGTGTTCCGACAAACGGTGTAACATGGCGATTGGGATCGGCTACACGCTACCCCTGCTGGTCTGCATCCCCTCATACTTTATGTTTAAGATACAGGCGACAGTAGTGCTGGAGAACGATCAGTTGATCGTTTTGTACCACGTGGGATTGAGTGGGGTCGCCAAGGAGGACGACGAACTGCTGTTTTGTATAAACTTCTGGATCTACGGCATAATTATCAAGTTACTGCCGTGTGCGATTCTTACAGTCATCAGCTGCTGGCTCATCAAGGCTCTCTACAAGGCCAACCGCAGGAAACAGGCCCTCAAAGGCAAGTTGTCTCTCTAATCAACACGCTCTTTCACGTGGTCCACTTACAAAAGTAAAATATTATTTTACGCGGCCCTTACATCGAAACATTCGACTATCGAAAATTACAGGACTTTTATAACTTCTAAAGAAACAGTTTAAATACCAGATGACAAAATGAGTTTGGAGTCCTCCCGCTATAGTTATTGCTAGTGTTGAAATAATAACTAACTGCATGAAGCACTAGGCGCTTGGATCTATCCTGAGTCAGATAAATCCATTCGACATTTTTGTACAGAATATTTTACAGTGCGCACTGTCTTTGGTCATTCGAAAATTTGGACTTCAATTTCGAATGCCACACCATATAAGACCAATGTCCGCATTTTCTGTGTTTTGGCTTTTGTCCGATCAGTTATGTATATATATATATATAAAAGAAATCAAAATTCCTAAAGTAATTCTGGTTCTTCTTCTAACCCTATACAAACCACCAACTTCCAAAAGCTCTTAATTTCATCCCTGATGATGGAAGCTTTTTATCCGAAATGTTGGGATCTACTTACAAGTCCACAAGGCGTCACCTCCCATAAGACTAACATCGTCACAACAGCTACAATTCACTGCATAATGCTTACGTAATCATTCTAAATGCTGAATACCGTGCCCTATTATACGCGTTTTTCCTTCTCGTGAAAGTGTGCTCCGGATCAGAAGTCAGATTATAAAACTGATCCGTAAGTTTGAACATGCCCCAGGGACTGACAAACAAGGACGTACAACATGTCGTCGTTCACGAAAAGAGTGCCTGTACGACTCCACTGACGTAAGCCACCAGGACCACAAGTCGTCTCCGCAGCAATTAAAAATTAATTTCCCCCCACCGGAAATCGAATTTCGGTCGTAACCAGCGGTTCACCGTTACAGCAAGGAGCATTCACCCTTCTGAAACAAACGTGGATGTAAATTTGGGATTCAAGACGGCTCTGCATTGCGCCTACGCAGAGGTGCTGCACAAAAGTTGTTGTCATTGCTTTACTCTTTTCGCAGGGCTCAACAACTGCAATTCTGCAAGCCTGTTGTCTTCCGAGAAACGAATCGTATCCAAATCTGAGAGGCGAACAGACAGGACCACAAAGATGTTGGTGGCCGTCCTCATGCTGTTCCTCATCACAGAGTTCCCACAAGGAATACTCGGGCTCCTCAGCGTGGCGCTGGGAAGATGTTTCTTCAGGACATGTTATTATTTGTTCGGTGAAGTAATGGACATATTGGCACTTCTAAACGGTGCCATAAATTTTATCTTGTACTGTTCAATGAGTCGCCAGTTCCGAACAACTTTTGCGCTGTTGTTTAAGCCTAGAATGTTGACAAAGTGGTCAACACCTGCTTCACAGACAGATGTTCAGAGTACGTATGTCTGATACAGACCTAACGGTGCAATCACTTTGCGAAGTTTCCTAACACTTTCGAGTCAGAGAAAGATTCCTACAGTGTCTCAGGATTGTGTATAGTTAATTATTTGTCAATTACTGACTTACACATCGTGAATGCATTATACAGCATGTCTCAAAAGTTCTTAGACATAGGGAATAATGAACTGCATTACAATAAAACAAAAATATAGTAATTTCTCTTTTCCTTATCTTCCCAAATCCATCGTGTGAAATAAAACACAGTTTTTACGAAAATTACTAAAAAAAATACTGTCACAGCAAACAATACGTAAAAGAACAGATCTATTTCGTGGATACTATAGAATATTTCTTGTTTTAGTGAGCATTTAATATGCAAACAAAGACATTCATACTCAATCCCTGTTTCATGGAAGTTACATGACATCTTTTATAATCAACTCGGTTTCAGAACCTGGATCTTGAATACGGTCGATTCCTCTATAAAATAAGTGTTCTCAATTTATTATATATTTTAGTAAATATTCTGCGTAGATAAACTTACAATATGCCCGAGTCTCTCCTAAATATGCGTATTAGTTTATGTGTTACCTTGGATTATACATTAAAGACAACTCGGTAGTATTACTAATATTTGTATATAATATTATAATCCCAGGCAATATTGGTCCAATATTAGTATCAGTGTTCAGATAATAAGATATTAGCTCAATGTATTATATGTAGAAAAACATAAATTTTACATATTGCATGTCACAAACGTGTTACGTGTGCAAACTGTCAGCGATCACATATATTTATATAGGCCTGTGAGGTGCATAAAACAAAATGCAAATCTTTCAAAATGCGAAAACCAATAGTGTTATTCACATGGAATTACATTCTTATTCGCCCAGTTACACCGGTTCAAAGTCCCTGGTTACACGAGATAATTTAATAAACGATTTTTATTTTAATGCTTAAAGTCCGATTATGACAAGACTTGTACAAATTTATTGTCAGAGAGAGACCTATCAGTTATTTATTTGCCCAGATTTGTTTCATTATCCATAATTAATTTCATCATCAATATTCAATAAACCCAGCAGCAAACTTAGAAGTTTTTATAAATATTAATATTTCAGGCCCTATTTCACAGTCATATATATACATAGTTTTGTATAAACTCCACTGTAGTATACTTCATTATCCCAATGTATTCTGCACGCCCTGCCCATCTCAGTCTTCTTGATGCGATAGATAAACTTAACAAGCGCGTTCGGCAGAAGGAATTATAAATGAAGATGGTTGTCTTCTGGGTTGTTGCACCGTGTAGTCTGGTAGAAGTTTACTGACGTTTCAGAGGTCTTTGTTACCTCCTTCATCGCCTTCTGCCAGAATACACGGCGCAACAAGCCAGAATACAGCCATCTTAAGACTCACAGCCGTGAAAATTATGACCACAGCGGACTATTCCCTTATAATAAATAGGCATTAAATTCACATGCAGCTATTCACGGTTAGCTGATACTGACAGCGTCAGTCACTCTGTCATGCTAAGGGGTACGGGTAGTTATCAGCCATCAACATCTGCCTGTAAATGTAACAGCTGCGACAGGTATCAATTTTAGCATTCTCCAGTCCGCAGATTAATAGGGCTCCATTGTACAGGCTACAGCCCGTCCGCCTCTTCATCTACTTTTTAAGAAGTATTTTCAGATTAAACTGAGGTCTCAAACTCAGTCCCCACAGCGTAGTTAAATACACCATAAATAAATAAATTCACAGTCAATTGTGTTTGACTAATAAACCGATTGAATCCGTATTATTATTATTATTATTATTATTATTATTCTCTTGAAATGCTTTACTTAGCTGATAAAAATTTCAGTCTTTCATTACTTCTATAACACCCATTTTAATATTATCATCCCATCTACGCCTATGAGCACTTCTTATATCCCCATTCGGGCAATAAATACATCTCCCGCCCACTTCACCCGATCTGATCAGCACCCCTACTAATATTATGATAAGAGGGTAGGCCTCATTTAATAACGCAACTTTTTCTCGTCTTTTCAATTCCTCTTTCCTAAACCCGAATATTCTCCTCGAATCTTTCTGTCTAAAACAGAAAATATCGATATGTTGAATGCTCTAATCAATTTGACTAATAATTAAACACATAATTTTTGTTAGGAAAATGTATAAAATATACATGTGCTGTCGAAATGCTGGAGTTTAATTCAACCCTGAATACTTGCGCGTTACAAGCGGGGGCGAAGCGTTCGTATTAACAGCGGCGGCCGTGTTAGCCGGGCTAACAGGGTTAACATGAAGGCTCCGCCTCTGATTACAAGTTATATCATGCCACGGGCAAAAAGCGAATAGGAGCTATTTGTGATAAACGGCACAGCTCATGCCAGTAATTCGACAATAGACGGATCAACAGAGCTGACCTTAGGTTAATCTTACGCAGCGACGTTCCTTCCACGCAACATCTCAGCAAATCAGAAAGAATTTTGGCCTGTACATAATTGCACAATCCTACTAACACTGTAACAGCAAACTTGACTTGGAAAATTCAGAACCCAGTGAAGTGATTGAACTAAATATATCAATTTGTAGCATTTATCAGTCAATATATGTGAAGGAGTACAAATGAGTTTTGATTTCCTATTGTGAATTTTGGGACAGCACCAAACACATCTCTGCCATAGGGTAGGATACTGTTGTACCACCTTTTGTATTTTTGTTCATTGACTACTCGAGCAAAACTGTGCACAACCAATCAGCACCAAATTCAAATGCTTGTTACACAGCTTGGACGAAATATTAAGGAGTAAATGCAGTGTGTCTATCTCAGTACGTCTAACGTGAGCATAAGAAAACATCCTTCCTAATAACTGCACACAAACTATAGTTAGTATGAATGTATTTTATTGTAAATAGACAAATATATTTTTATTGTGTTGAGGATATTAGTCGCCGTAATGTGTGAATGTGCATTTATAACAGAAAATAAAACTGTTACGATGTAACTGCTGTATTTTAACCACAATGTTATTTATAGCACGAAGACGACACATCGTATATAACTAATTTCTCTGAAAGTTCAGCATTTTGAAAGTAATAGTAAGACTTGGATGTTTGTATATGTTATTAGACTAAACTACAGGGTATTCATTAATAATAACGGTGTTCGATTTTTATATATTGTGATCAAATAGTCAAGAATATAAATAATTAACTCCCCTTCCCTCCGTCCTCTTTTACAACAATAAATACGATGTTAGACTAAGTTTAACATTTGACAGCCCTAGTAAATAATGGTAGAATTTTGATTACTATTATATAGACGAGTAATTTAATATCCCGCACAAATAAATAAACATTACAAATTCAATTTTATAAACATAAGTGCATGATGTGATTCGTTGTACTCTGTGTATTTTAAAGTTGTGTTAAAGATATGTATTCGTAAGCGTATTTTAAGAACAGTGTTTATTTAAACGTTAAAAAAGTACGAGTAAGTTATGTCGGCCACATTTCTGTAGAAAACATTCTTCATAATTTGTCTTATGTTTTCTGCAACGTAAATGTATTAAAAAATCCATTGACTTAAAACAGGGCTTAAACCGTTACTGTTGTTAAAATGCAAACTTTGATAGATTTATCAAATTATCTCGCTGTTACTGGTGCTTCGATAAAGTGTTTTTTGACAAAACACACTACTGGCATTTTTATAAGTAAACCACTTTCTAGCGTCCTTAATTGCTACAAAACGTTCCACACTAAATAAGAACTCTCACAGTGTTTTATGCATTACGGCGTCTGTGCTCAAGAACGCAGAGCGGTAAATTTATGAAATGTGATTGAAACGTAGATAGCATATTCAATAGCTAAATGACATGTTTTCTTTAATATAGCTACAGTAAACAGATCGGGAATAAACTACTATAAACGAAATAGAATACAATACACACAATGCGTAATTTAAAAATACTTAATATCAGGCTTCTAAATCAGTTGGAATATGATGAGAAACTGGTTATTTTTTGTAAATATTTGTGCAATTAAACTCAAATTTTGTGGTGAACGGCAAATATATATGAATTTATTTAAACCTTAATGCTAACCACATTTATTTCATATTCCAATTCGACTTTCAAGTTCTGAGACTGGGTAGTGTCGAATACGATACTAGTCATGTTAGTTTTCAAAATGAACTAGTGTAGAAATTTAATCGTGATCTTGATCGCGATGAATTTGAAAGTACCTGAAGCAGCTTGGCTCATAACAACGACACTGAAGACATGCGATAATATAAAATTAAATGTTGTATTTGTACACGAAACAATTCGGCGGTAATCCTTTCAAGCAAGCTCATCAAAAATAATATTTAAAAAAATTCATTCAGTACCTCAAGGAAAACAAACAATTCCCCATTATAAAGCTCCATTAGTAACCACCGTCCTTTAAAATTCAAAACACAAAATATCAAATACCCAATGTGTGGTTTCACAATAATTTACTTCCAAAGGAATTCAATGCTTTACTTCATAAGAAAGTGAATGGAACTTTTTATATAGAATTCACTTAATTTTCAGTCAAATTATTGCAGAATTAAATGCTTTACGCCCTAAGAAAGTGTATGGAACTTTTTGTTGGATTCAGACAGCTGTAAAGATTGTGGAATTATTAAGTAGAAGCTGTAGTGTCAGGTATAACACAAAATCATGTAAAATCCAGAATATTTTTTCCGGAACAAAATCATTCTCTCTCTCTCTCTCTTCTAACCTGAGCAAAACAAGCATTAATAGTGTCTTGCATGAGAACTATTACAACCGTTATTGTGGTAGCGAGCCATTATGACAAAGTAAAATTTTGCTACTACTGAGTGCATGGACACGTCATGATCATACCTCCTCGGACTTGATGAGTTTCAGAGTACTTTAAACATTTTTGATTACAATGGATAAATTTTAAATGATTATTAGAGAGTCAAGAAAACAACCAAACTTTCTCCTCACTGATACTAACAACATAATTCTTACGTCGGTGTTCTGATTCGTATTACCTTATGTATAAGACTGTAACACGTGTCAAAAGTTTCTTTTCTGTGCAAAAGTTTATAGGTTTCCCCAGTTTTACCTACTTTAGAACATACAGTACTACTGTACAATATATGAGTTTTATGTTCAATTTTTCTTCCTTGTATTTAGCCTTTCTACGGAACAGACTTATGCACAACAAAAATATTTGTTTTAATTACAGTTCTTAACTGCAGTGGTTCCACGGAACTGAGAAAATGTTATCTCCTGTCTTCAGTCACACTAACTGGTTTACAACATACATTAATCAGCGTATGTACCGGTACGTGGTATGGTCTTGTCTTCCCACAGCATGTGCATTACACAAACAAGATTTTTCAAAGTACGAATACAGCCTGAGTATAAATTCTGAAGATTTCTGTCTTGTTTGTTAACATCGGCCAGACTACACGGCGCAACAACCCAGAAGACAGAAATCTTCATACTCACCGCTGTGAAAACCTTAAACTTTACAATTGTACTTCTGTTTTAACTGATATAGGCACACCGTTCGCAGTGTCATTAAATATGTCACCTGCGATTTTGAGACACACTGTAAGCCGCTCACTTTCGTTCGTAACTCTGTCATATATATAATGGCATCTGTCAAGTCTGTGTTTAGTTCATATACAAAGATGGAGAAATATTATTAAAACGGTGTGTTATATTATTGAAGAAATGTTTGAATTCACTTTGAAATGAGCCCGGCGTGAATTCACGGTTCTTGAAATAAGCTAACTCATAAGTTGCCAAGGTGCTTATTGATAAGATAAGTCTGTTGGTAAAAAATTGAAGTAGTTTTCAAAATATGTATGTAATAATATTGTACATTAACAGAGTATTAAAATATGTAAAAATATTTGTGATTGAATTATCATCGCTTCCTAATATATTTCAAAAGATAATAAATATCCCATTTACAAGGCCTGTATTACATAATTATGTCTTTGTTGTGCCAACAGACAATATGTCGCAATAATAAACGAGAATAATTAGCACAGAATATCCTTCTTCCAGCACTGGGATTCGGAGAGGTGTTAAAAGTCCCTTATCGCGGGAAGCAAACTTACATGTGGACGGATTTTATAGAACGACCTGAGTAGCGGAGAACACGCAGAAGACTGATTGCATTCATTTGGATCCAGAAAGAAACCAGTGGCGGGCTCTTGTAAAGACAATGGAGCGGGCAATTTATTGACTGGATGATCGACTATGAGCTTCTTAAGACAGATTGTTCCATGAAGTTAGTCGGTTAAGTATTTACAGATATACAAATCCATAAACTCCTTCCCTAGTATTATTGAATCGTCTTCATGAAATACTTTACTTCGGCTCGAGCTGATCAAACCCCATTGTTCTACTCAAACCACAGCACTTAAATTAGTCTCTCTGTATTCATTTCCCTGCCCAATTTGATATGAGTTTTACGTCTCCTATATGTGTTTAACTTCAGCCACGTGTTAACTACTCGTATATGTTCCACGGGTAGTTTACTCCTCGCTTTTGTCAACGTTTTGGTAACGATACATTACAGACTCCATATGTATTTTAATTTATGAAACATATAATGTTAAACAACTATTCTGTTTCAGGTGTTCTTCTGCAACGAGGATAATGAATTAACACTTAATGGGGAGGTGATGCTCGGTTGACCTTCCTTCCACGTGTTTCGTATTGGCAACATTTAACATTAGGAGTCTCTACTAAGAATTGCCAGGAGAACTTACTTTTTGTTTATATCGGTGAAATACTGTGCAACTCTTACTTTACAACAATCTCAACTAATATTTTATATAATTTCTCAGAGGTGGTTCACTGTGCGATAAATTGATGCAAGGAAGAGAAATGGAAAATTGTTCTTCTTGTATCATTATTCTAATTTTGCTCATCAATTAAAGTTGAGTACGCTACGTGTCACACTGATAGATGAAGCTTCTCAAGGCGTGTGAATTAAGTCTATTAAACGCATGACAACGGCGTCCAAGTAGTCATACTGTGAGTAAGGTACACTTACAAACGCCAAGGCGATGGAGCTTAAGGAGAGAGGAAGCAAGTAACTTATTCACTCACACTGAATGGCTCGAGTATATTTCGGATTAAGGAGTGAATGCACCTAACACCTCCCCCCCTTCTCATGAATCATTAATAAGGACTGCGAGTAGAGAAAGTCAAAACCATTCCAGACAAACCTCACCTTCATTAGTACCAGAGGGTAGGAGTGAAGGCGTAATAATAATCTGAGTTTATGTTAGGAACAATCCAACTTCGGAACTCCTTAACTATGTTTTTCATACAGGATCAATGTTTCTTAATTGTAACTTAAAATTAATTATAGTGCGTACTGAAGCCTTCATTTATATCCCTTTCACACCAAAGAGGAAAGCAATCTATTTATACTTCTCTTTCTTGTAACAAATATTCACGGCTTGGGTAGAACAGACCCTGCTTATTTGTAGAATTTACGGACATACAACCACAAACCACACAGACTGCCCTGTCACTCTTCAAAACAACAGTTCTCCTTGCACAAATACGACAGAAGCCGATTCCCATGCGCCTTGTCCATATGTTACGTTAATATTGAAACAAAACAATTAGAGATTCCAATCTCCAAGAATAAACACCACCATTAATTTGTGGAGCAATAAGCTTCTAGACAGGACGTATGGATTATTACCACATTGCCTCTCTTTGAAGCCCACACAGGATTTAATCTCCACAATTAGAAAAGTGTTCAGAACAACCGAATTTTCCATTCATTATGCCCATATGCATGCCTACGTAAGCTTTATTCTGTATAAATGCAAGTCACCACTGCCAGCGACAATCAGACCTAACTACCTTTGTGTAAGGATACTAAGAAGCTAAAACTGAAACCAAAAAAATCTAATGTGTTCCGTTACAGTTTTATGTTTAAAAGCAAAATTCTGACAGAGGTCCTATAAGAAATAAAGTAACAAATGGCAGAAGAAAATTGCAAAATGAAAATTTTTATAATAATATGCACACTTAATTTAATATCGTTAGACTGATTAAATCGGGGATGTTTGAGAACAGGGAGCTCAGGATAATATTAGGACCTAACATGGATAAAGTGACGGGAGGGTGGATCTCTATGTTATGTATTCTTCATCATATATTATCAGTATCATCAAATCAAACAGAATGAGATGAGTGGGCATGGAGGCCATGAAAAAAGCCTACAAAAGATTGATTGGAAAGCCTATCACCTTCTCAGGGGCTCAACTCCATGGAGTTAAAATCGTTAAATTATGGAAGATGCAGTTGGTAGAGCATCTTCAAATACCATACTATCCTCCCATCCATCCTGACATGTGCAAACTGAATAACTAACTGACTACACGGAGCAGAGTCCTTGATAAGGTGACAGTCGTTCTTCTAGACAAAACATTCCCAGTCTTTTACGGAACCTGAAGCTATTACAAACAGTCCGATCTAGGATCGTATCATTAGCCACACCAATTCAGTCCAAACCGTCCCAGTCTACTTCCATGAGATCCATATTACTATTATTCTTCCATCTACTACCAGGTCTTTCCTTCAGAGTTTTCAAATAAATTTCTGTATACATATTTCATCGGCCCAATGAGCGATACATGACCCATCCATCTAATCCTCTATTTGATCCTAACCCTCCTGTTACTTCATCTCTCTTAGGTTGAAATATCTCCTGAACACCCTGACCTCAAACACCCCCAATCTATGTTTTTCGACCACAAAGTCCTTGTCAATTCTACAACTCTCTAGGCACCAAATTCCTCATTTTATGGAATCCAAATGTTTATCACTGATTCTACTGAATCCTATCCTGGTCCATTTTAATTCAATCCACACTCTAATACCCATTTCAATGTCTTCTTTCTAACTCCGTCTATGACTTCCGGGTTTTTTCCTCGAGGTTTTCCGGAGAAGATGGATTCTAATACCCTGATTTCCTCCACCGTTATGAACGTTTCAGATTTTTATTGTAAACGTAAGAGTTTTAAAATTTTATGCTTTCTTATTATGTGACTCAACAATTTCGAAATTCAGATTAACTGAAACATCGCTACCGCCCCATCCCGGGTTCTAAACACGCGCTGAAACACTTTATTAGCAAGATTAAGGATATTAATTACAGTACGTTGACGCAACTGGCCAGGGCTCATGCTATGGCATTCTAAACTCATAATGCAAGCAGCTAAACAAATATATCAGCAGGTTTAATAGAGCTCTGACGGTGAAATGAGTGTCCATCATGTGCGAATGTTATCGCTTCTAAAGCAGTGAGAGCTGATGGAAATTTGTATGTTTTCAGGGCTACATGATTTAATGCAATAGTGGGCTTCAGACAAATGGAGAAAGCACTGATGAGAATGCTGCTACTCTTGTAAGCGCAGTGTAGAAGAATATCGCATAAATAAGATGAATTATTACCAAAGCGCGTGTAAGGATTGTCCCCAAGTTAGAAGAACTGTTTTTTCACATACCAGTGGTTATAACAGTACCTAAATACATAAGTATAGGCCTATATGCATCGTAATAGCGTGATTCGTATAATCTGAGTACGAAAGAGGTTTCTCTGATATTTTACGAGATGGCGAATGAATGGTCACAGTAAGATAGTTCATTTGGTACCAGACAAATTCTTATTATGCAAATGGATTTACTTCACAAAAAGCTTTGCGCAGTCTGGGTTAAGGTTCATGCAGTGTGGTTTGTTTCAAAAGTCGAAGCTCTTACCTATAACGAAAACTCAAGAAAGTCCAAGACGACAAAAATACAATTAAAATTTAATATCACACAGGCACCTTGACACCGACACTTCTATCAAATATCAAGCCTTCTGTCTATTAATGTAAATTCTATCTCCATATGTAATACTCTCATAACGCAAAATAAATGTACATATAATTTAAGAACAATCTTTTCAAAATTACGACACCTGTCATGAAACAGGTCTATTAACTATCGATGCACATCTTATAAATGTCAACCTCTGAAATTAGAAAGTTTTGCCGAATGCACTTAACATCAATGTTTCCTACGTACAACTGTACCAACAAACTTTTACTTCTTTCCGAACTTTCTACTTGTTTTCCATCTTGCAGGCCTACTCCAGAATTTCTGAGTCCAGATTTGACACATTATTTCATAAGGAGAAAGACATATTAAACACATTCATTCGAAAATATGAGCTCTCGTTTACTTGACTTTCAATTTATAACATAAAAATAATTAATTAGATTTGGATTTACTTTCATTTTATTTACAACTGAAATGAACTGATGAATGAAACATCACCCAGCACAAAATACGGCATCCGAAAATATGCCTTGAATGTTCGCCAACAACGGCACATATATAACCTTCTTTTTTCTAACTGCATTTAGTCGTTCAACCAATTTTGATATCAGTTATTCTTTCGGAGGGATTAAAAATCTAGCTAAATCTCCTTCTGATGCTCCTACACATTTTAATTATCAGGCGCTGAATCCAAATAAAGTTACGAGTTCCCATGCTGTAATCTGATTCATCCTGAAAGTCCGAAGAGATTTACTCGGTCATCAGAACAGCTCAATTTCTAAACCAATTAATAAACAATTTGGGAGTGAGAAGCCCGACATTACGTACATAATCCCATTACTGTGAAAACAGACAAGCTATTAAAGTTTTGTATTCAGGCACAAAAGGAATAAACGGCTCTGTCTATGCAGCAAAATCTGCTGTTCTTCCGGTTTGCGCCTTCTTTTTTAACAAAAGACAAAAGCCTGAATGATCGAACAACTGTGCAACAGCTGGTAGCTGATGAACGAATAAGTTTGTCTTTGCAAGCATCTACAATAGTGGAAATTAAGG